TGGTCATTCTTGACTTTACTGGCAAGTTGTTGGGCCACAGCTGCATCTTGAATCAAATATAAGCCGTGGGCGGACGGGTTGAAGTCAGAGATAGTCCTGGTTGGACAGTTCCAATCTTCGGGAATCAACTCGAAGGTAGGCTCGGGCAAATTGTCTTTACCTTTCTTGCCTTTCCCTTTTGAACTGCTTCCGGCCTCGCGACCTTTACCCTTGTCCTGTCTTTCCTGAACAGCTTCTTCCTTACGCTTACCTTTTTCCTTTGGAGGAATCAGGCCTTTGCCTCTGCCACCTTTTTCAGCTTTCCCTTTCGGGGGTTGCTGCTCTTCTAGTTGGGCAGGGGCACTCCTATCGGGTTGCATCCCGATCTTTTTAGCAGAGGCCCTGATCATATCCCGAATCTGATTTTGCCCGTCGTTGCTAAGGACCTTCTCACGCAACTTGGAATCAAGAACCAGGAGGGCTCTAATCTGTTTGGGGGCAAACTCAACGTCCGCCCTCAGGACCTTCTGCTGAGCTTTCCCAATTGCCTCGGCTTCTGCTGCTCCTCCTCCTCCAGAGATCTGACCAGCCATAGAGCTGAAAGTGTTCCTCATTCCATCATTCCAGAAGAATCATTCCGCACCATCTGATAAATATGAATACCACCTCCCAGGTCTGATAACTCACAATCAGGATCATGTGATACTGCAAGAGTAGTGCAAGATCCATTGTCGATCGTTCCACATAGATGATGTAGCATATGCATGTAAATTGAAGCACTCATACCACCTTCCAAATCTGAGAAGTCATCGATAGGATCGCTTGATACTGCAGGAATAGGGCGAGATTCCCTGTTGATCTCCAGTCGTCCAGATGTAATACAATAGGGCTGTGTAGCCAATCTGCTCGACCTGTCACGGGAGCGATCCGGCCCAAAGTTCCCATGAGTTCCTTCATCAACAAAGAAAGGCACAGTTGGGGAAATGTCAGAATCACTGAGTGGAATGGGTCGAGACTCTCCAACATTCCTCTTGTTTGTTGCAATAGAAGGTAGAACCTGCGAGAGGGCTCGCCTAAGATTGCAAATGGTAACCTTTTGCTCCTCAATGACCTCCTGTTGCTTCTTCAAATGCTTAGCCAGTCTTCGATTCCGTTTTCTCAGTGTGCTTTGCAGTTGAATAGCTTCATCAAATTTGAGCATCCCTACATCTGCTGAGCATGTGAAAGGCAGAGGAATCCGAAGTAACTGACTCGTCGTCAAGTTCCCCACCCCCACCAATCAGCCCAAGGGAGTTCGCCCATACATAAACAATAGCAATCTGTCCACCTGTCACGTCGAAGTACCATCCCAGCGCCGGGTCTGATTCTGGAGGGAAACTGAAATAGTCCAGGAGAATGGATCTTTACCTTTTCAACAGTGTACTCATCGACTCCCAGCAAACCAGCAATAGTGGAGGGTGAGCTTTCTGGGATAAAATGCAAAGGTTTGATCTTCCAACTCACAAATTTGCTAACAAGAGTTCGCTGATCCTCATCAGAAACATGCATGGTGGCCAAAGCAACAGCATCTTTGACATCCCTTTCATCTTCCTGATCGAGAAATTGTTTGGCCCTCGTCTGTTGAACAGCTTTGCCCATGAGCTTTCGACAAGCAGTTTTGAGACCCAAGACTTGGGCTTCAGACATTTTGGTAAGCGTCATAATAATGCGGGTTTTCTCTGCCAGAATTTGTGCATAGGTCGGATATCGGTTTAAGGGGAAGAGGTCCCTAATTTCATCGTTGAACGGCGTGAGCTGCAGATACTGCCCCAGTCTCATAAGATCCAATGGTACCTCCTGTTCAAGCATACCCCCCTGTAAGGATCTTTTGCGAGGCAAGGCCGGTCGTCCATCAATGCCCAGCATAGGCTCGTCCTTCATCCACACCTCAACCCGTCTTATGCGGGGGAGAGGTGGCCGGGGATCTGTGTCTTCAACATAGATCTTCTTGTGCTTGCGCCTCTTCCTCTTGTGAGGCTGATCTTCACCTCCACTCGTCTTAGCCGGGGGCGGGGTGCCCTCACGAGGCCGCTCATAATTCGGGGCCATGGTGAACGTCCGAATATCGGCGAAGTGAACCTTCATGCGTCGACGGTCCTTGCCGTTCTTCCTCCATGCCGGCTCTCTTTTCGTGGGCTTCTCAGGTTGATTGCTCTGCCAAATAGTTTCATCATCAGTGGAATAGTAGGAGTACTCGTCTCCACCGCCTCCGCAAATACTGAGATTAAGCTCCATGCCACGTGCACCGAGATAGGCAAGAATGCAAACCACAAAGAGATAAAGCCTGCAACTGCGATATTGCTCTGTGCATTCTGTGCCACATAGTCCTGCTCCACCGCTGATATCTTTTCTCAACCGTGGCAAAGGGCGCCTCCTCGGTAGTGGGGTCCGCAGACTATTATGGAGCGGCCTGCCCCCGCGGGAACGGGATCGCGACTTAAACCGGATCCTTCGCTGCCAAGCAGGCGCGTCCGACAGGCTCCACACTTCTCCCAAGCCTCGATATCCATCTGAACCAGAGGCCTGATCCACAGTCTCAGCTATCTCCTCTTCTCCATGCGGCTCCTCATATTCTTTTCTTTCGTGTTCCTCGTTTTCCACGAAGACTTCTTCCATCTCTTCGTTCTCTTCATCTTTTCCTTTACCATCATCATCTGGGGGTTGTGAGGAGCCCCAAGGCTCCAAACCAAGTCTCCGACATTTGGCTGCAAATATCTCATCTTGATCAATCTGCTCGTGTAGCACACAATATCCATATTGCCAAATCATCCTGTAGTCATGCGGTCCACGAGCCCAGTATACATTGTACAAGAGCTCCGGTGGAATGTCCTGGCGCACCAAATAGACCCCATTAGTCGACTTATACAGGGGCATCTCTGCATCCAGCAGTTGCTGGACATTCACTGCAACCACCAAATCGCACCCCGGCCGCATACCTGACTGACCGTGGTTCACAAAATAGGTAGTGCTGAAATGCACATGTTGTCTGTGGCCACATCGCAGCCCCTGTCGTCTGATGGATCCCCAAGCCGCCAAATACGTGCCATGGAATAAAGTGGGCTGGTCCACCTCATCCGGCATTGTGATATGGCGATGCATGTCGTTGCTGAGGTCCAACTCCTTGTTGTGCCCCTGAGTGGCCCGAACAAGCCAACCATCTTCTCCTTGATGTACCTCAAATCTACCCTTCTGGCACCGATTGACCACCAACAGCACGCTGTCGATCGAGGCATGTGGCTTCCTGGCCAAAATATCTTCCACCTTCACGTACCCATCACTGTCCATTTCAAGACCCTCCTTCACTGCTCCATGCCGAAGAACAAAAGAAAGGTATCTGCTTATATCATATGTAACTCCAGGGATGTCTGCAAACTGTGAGTTGCTCCGCCCTTTTTTGTGACCTTTGCCTCCTCCGCAAAGATCTGTGCCACTGCCATCTTGCAGATCCTCCATCCCAGAGCAAGGGGCACACAAGTCGAAAGGAGATCTCTTGTAGGCCTCCCATGAAACCTCGCAATTCTCAAGCCAAATGCTGTTCACCCGGATGGCCTCAAAGTGGTTGCTCCAAAGCCTGAGCACCAATGGCTTAATCTCCTGATCCTAAGTTGTGGGCAAAAACCTCACCACCTGACCGAAGTGATTGAAGTTGCACACACTGCTCACGTTGACCACCCAAATTTCCTGGTGTAGAAAAATTGGCAGTTGCTTGAATAGCATCTTCATCAGCCCATTTACCACCTGCTTTGTGCTTCTTCTGGGTCTCCTGATTGGCCTCCATCAGCACCTGTTTTTTGATCCTCCTCCAGCTCCTGGCATGCCCAAAGCGAAGTTGGCTCACAGCGTACCAAAAACAGTTGCCTCTCCCTGCATTGTTCAAGGTTCTCCCCGTCACCGATCCATACGTCGCGACAGGGCCTTCAACGTTCCGTCCAAGCTTGTCCAGGTCGATGTCCAACCCGCCAAGCTGCTCATCTTCCATACCGCCAATACTGCAGACGTGGCCAAGAAGCTCCCAAAGACGGAATATCACCTGACTCCATCCGCAAAGGAGCATTGCCACGCCCATCCAGCCAAACAGAAGTCTCACGCCCCCAAGGCAGCTTCCATGGCCGAGATTCACTTCCAATCTGGTTGAGCCATATGTATGAGCCAACGGTTCAGCATGTCCCAAATAGATGCTCACCGCATGCTCGGGGGACTCATTGTAAGGATCTTTTCCATGAATAGACCAATCAAAGGCGAGGGTACATGAAGCCCACAAAATACAAACAGAGGGAGCCGGAAGGGTAACCAAGGGGTCTGCCGACATCTCCCTTGCACCCAAGTACGACACCCGGCCTGCATCTCATCCAATTCACGAAGAATAAGCACCAATAAATAGTCCAATACCGCAACTCCTCCACGTAGAAATCGGCAGATGGAGAAATAGAGAATACCAATGGCACCAACGACGAGGTACTCGAGGAACGCATCAATAGGACGCTCCCGAAGAAGAATACATACCAATACCCAGCAATAACCATAAATACAAAATAGCGCCAATTCATCTCTGCAGTCCTTATTGATCCTCACTCGGCTCCAGATGAGGGAGATCCAATAAGCTGCTTTACCGGGAAAGATACAAATACCATTCCAAACCAACAAGAACATCTTCGAAAACAGATCAACAAAAGAATATACACCGCCAACTCGGGATTCCTCCTGAACCCCCCCCATCAACGTCTCCAAAGGATATGGAAAACATGATATAGTTGACCAGAAAGGCCAACATCAACCCCCGTCCCCAAATCTGTAACTGTCCGGGTGATGGGGCCATGACCAAGGAGGGGTCAGGTCCTACCGAACAGCTAACAGCTGTCACCGCGGGAAGGCTTGAGGCTGAAACAGCTGTTTTGATTGTGGTTCATGTGCTAGCACGTTTGAGACCCCACCGAAGATCCGGAAGGCAAAGGGAACAGTCCCGAGACCTGCTAGCCTCTTGCCTGCATGTCGGGGTACATGCCCACTGGTGGCACCTTGGAAAGGCCATGAGGCAACTGAAGTGATCCTCTGAAGGAGTGTGTCTTTCGTCGCAAATTAGCCCACTGGTGCAAATCCTAGACTTTAAGTTAGACTTGTCGCTCTTGTTGCAGCTGCCACTAGCAAAACCAACCACAAGTTCAACTAGTTGAAAGCTTGGTATTGGACAAGTCAGTTGGTATGTGCGATGGGTGTGAGAGCTGAAGCGAGGGCGATCGAACCAATGGAGAATCCTCGGTGGCGATGAATGGTCTGCCCCTACAATGACTAAATGTGGTTTTAAAGCAGCCCACAACCCCCCCCCCCGGATCCACATATAACCATATATATATATATATATATATGTGTACACACATGTGTTTGCAAGGGTGGGAACCCCCAAGGGACCGTTTTTGTGGGAAACCTACACTGCTTTGAGGATCCACCGACACTCAGAAAGACGCCTCAGGCATGGAACTTCTGTGGGGAGGGGAAATGAGGCTGCAAAAGTTGGTCTTGAGCACCACTCCCCCAAAGGAACCCTTGAGGTGGTTGACTGGCGGTAGGATGTTCGGTAGACCATCAATCTAGCTAGGTCCTGCAGTAGAGACGTTAGAATAAGGGTACCCTTTTTCTGTAGCCTATTTTGGTAGGGGAACCCTCCCCCAAAAAAGGGTAAAAGGGCAGACCTAGTAGCCCATCCTTCCCTGAGCATCCCACATAAGAGCCGCCGCCGCCGCCGCCGGGCGGCGGCACATAGCTCCCCCCGCCGCCGGGCTGAAGGGGCGGCATGTAGTTGCCTCAGCCACGCTGAGTTGGCTGGACATGTTGAAACGGCCGAGATGAAGAAACCAAACAATAGGCAAAGCAAAGTCGAGGCTTTTGTGGCTTTCTTCAATATCATCTGGCAACAACACAGAAGCAAATCTACCAAAGCCTTCCAGGTCAACAAACAAGGCAAAGAGATCGCTTTTCCGGCCAGCGATTTTGTGTGTTTGCAAAAAACGTGGGGACCCGTGCGGGGTCCAACTCATGTCGGGGTCTCGAAGGATGCCGACGAAGCGAGCGAACGAACCCGAGAAAGAAAAAACAACTCGGATCCCCGGGCCGTTGGGCATGGGAGGCGGCACCCAGGACCCGCCCTGCGGGCCCTGCAAGGTGACAGCATTTTTCTGGCGGGAGGAGATGTAGGGTCCGGGGAAAAAAAAGAAAAGAATACCCGCCACCTTCACCGGGCTATCAAACGGTACCCTAAGGCACCCTTATTTGGGGTTTTTGGAGGCAACTGGACAGGCAATCGAACCCCAAGAACCCTGATTTGGGTTTCTTTTTAGGGATGTGTTTCAACTTGCGTGAGAAATGCAGCCAGTTTCCTTCCCCAACAGCCGAAAGCTTTCGGGTCTCCGCCCAAACAAGCTCTGGGGTGGTTCGGAGCGGCTCCGGGCTAGGGTTGCAAGCGCTTTGTGGGGTGCCGTTGGGAACGGCCCCTTTGCTTCTTGTTTCCCATCGGCGACCGCCCTATCGGCGGCCTACTTTTGCGGGGTTGGAAAGCCAGAGGAAGGTCACCTCAATCAGTCCCCATTTGTGCACTCTGTTCTGATTTCTGGGGGGAACCTGCAAAACGCAGCGACAGCTTTGGAGTGCACTCGGCCGATCCTGGGTTTAGGGTGCCCTTTTGCGGGAGAGGTTGCGCGCTTTGGCCCCAAAACCCAGAGGTTAGTAGCGAGTCAGAACCAACCTTAGTTTTCTTCTTCGGGGGAGGGAGGGGGAGGGGGAGGGAGGGAAGCCATGGCTTCGAAGAAAAACCACTGATAGGAGCAACCCCCTAGTTTTGGGGGTGCCAGGGGTTTTCTTCCTCCAACCGCTTCTTGAACGCGCCCAATTGGGCTCGGTGTTACGCCTCAAGGAGCTATGCGGGGCATCGAGCGCATGTGCGCCTGCTGCATGGGAGGCGGTTGATACGCGCCAGGACCATAGGGGTCCTGGCAGCGGATAGGGTTGTGGAAAAGAAGAACTGAGTGTGAATGCTATTGGGCACCCTCTGGTGGACATCATTGAGCTCGGGATTTGTGCCGCCGACTTAAAAATCATGGCCGACCCTATCTGTGATACAAAGTGAGCCATCTCTATGACTACTTTGTCGCTTTGAAGGGGTTTGCCTTGGTCTCGCAGAAAGTTGCCTGCAAACCCTCAGGTTTCCACATGTGGTGTGCTCAAGCGACAGAGTTGAGCCAGCACTGTTTGGTAGCCGGGGGGGACGGGGAGGTACCCTGTTCTCAGACAAAACCATAAGAGTTGAGCATCCATATTTTGCATGTCCGAGAGACTTCGCCTGAAACCCCAAAGGGATCAGGTCAATTTGACAGCCACATAGTCATGAGGTCCCCCCCCCCCGATTTGCGCGAAATTTGGAGAAGTTGACCCCTGATTTCGACTCCGTCTGAATCAGAGCGGGGGCTCACTGGTTGAAAAGATACGAGCTGCCAGCACGATACAACATCGAGTGGCTGAATTTTGCGACAAATGTCAAAGACAAACACATGGGACGCTCAGAATATCGGCCACCCTTAGCAGAAGGGGCTAATACAGAGAATATAATTTTATGATCATGGCTTGATTTGATCTTCCAGTATCCCACAGCCCCATCCAATTGATTTAGGCCCCGGTAATTCCTTTGCATGTTTGAGGAAGCGGGTTGAACGTGGAGGTCGAGATAATCGTTTAGTGGCACCAGGGATTCATTGCATATGTTTCCCTTTGAACATCACCTCATCAACCCACTTGCCGAGTGGATGGCCCCAAAAAAAGTCCAAACTTTACATGTACCACTAAAATGGTCTTCCCAAAAGGTTTAAAGTTCATGAACTCAGGAAGTGAGTCAAAAAGGAATGATCTTTCATTTGGTGGCCGAAAGTGTGCCAGACCACCCAACTGAGGGGGAAGCACTAGCTTCGGAGGCTGCATTCTCACCCGTAGGAAGCCGGGGAACTTCGTCGCACCCCAAACCAAGGATTCGGACATGTATTCTTTGTTCATCACGTTGGTCGCAAAGATGTCTCAGGTGACCTTTGACTCGCAAGCCTGAAGTCAAGAGGGCCAAGCCGGGGAAACTTAGAATGAGGCCGTGTCGACCCTGCTTTGAGTGGTTTAAAAGGAAACCGCGCGGCTGTGGACTCGTCTGAAAATAGACATGGAACACACACGTAAACCGCAACGCACGTTGTATATTATGTGTTGTATATGTGGTTGAATTCCATTCAGGGTCTGTTAACGCTGCAACCTTTTCCTAGGCTGCTTGATCACAAAAGGGGCTTCAATACCACCCCAGTCAACTAGCCGAAAAAATTGAATCAACACATATTTCACACATCTGAAACAAGACTTGGACCCCAAGAAGGCCCCCCCTGCGAGAGCTTGCGATGTGCCCAGGTGGCCAGTTTTCCTGTGAGTGAGTACCTAGCTCCATCCTGGAAACCCATGCGGGAAACCCATCTCCTGCTGGCCGCATCCTCCACACCCGCCGCCACTCCTGGGGGATTTTCCACGAAACGCAAAAGGACGGACCCCTATTGGAGCCCCGCCTGGCGGCACAAGATGAAACCCTTGAAAAGGCGGTCCCTTCTCACGTGCGGGACTTTTGGCACGCAAAGGATCATGCCTTTTCATGAAGGATTCTCAACCAAGAACAAGGGCATTCCCAAGTACGGAAAGGATCTTCTGTGTGGGTGAGCTCGCTCTACCCCCAGGTGAGCCTACAAGTTGTGCAGTTTCTGTCATTGCCATACCGCACGACAGAATCCTCTGCTGAGATGATAGGGGGTTCAGCTTTGAGCGCTCTCTTGCTCAAAGTCAGAGCCACCCCAAAGAGCAACAATGCGATAACCCAGCATCACCTCTCCAACAAAGAAAACAACGAATGTCAAACCCGGTGTTTCCCAAAGTGGGTGTGTATGATATATATATATATATATGTTCCCGTCGCCCGTCGTCCCCAGCCCCCCCGGGGGGGGACCCTGGCCCCCCCCGCCCCCCACAGGGGGGGGGGGGGGCTTGTGGGGCGGCTTGCTCCAGTGTGCGCGCGACGTTGTGGGCGCGTTTGCGGCGCTGTTCGTGTGATGCGCTGCAATGCGATTTGCTAATTTTGCAGCACGCGACAAGTTGCAGCGCTGTCGCAATTGACATTGCGCGATGCCACGACGCAGTTTGTGGTTTGCAGCGCCACAACCAAGTGCCAACCAAGTGCGCTGCAACGCGCCAGTGGCAAACGCACTTTACTTGCTACCCCAGCGGGCGGTGTGGGAACCATGGTCGCGGGGGGCTTTGCGGTCACACTGTGCCACCATTCTCCCCACCCCCCATTCCCACAGGGGGGCGGGGGGGGTGGGAACCATGGACCCCCCCACCCATCCCACAGGGGGGCGGGGGGCTTGTAGGGTCACACTGTGCTACCTTCCCGACTGAGCATGACCATTGGGGGGGGGGGTGGGGGGGGGGCCAAGGAAGCCTGGAACATATATATATATATACATATGTACATACATACATATATATATATATATATGTGACCCCTCCAAACTGTTTCCTCCCCTTTTGACGTCCCTGTAAGCTTCAAAGCCAACAACGAGTTGGGAACCGCCTTCCCACTCGGAGAAAAAGACACAAAAAAAAAAAACAAAATGCCCGGGGACCCGGGCTGGTGGAGCCTCTGCAGGTCTGACTGGTACCGTGCCTGGACCTGGCCAGGTTCAGGGCACAGGAGGAATACGCTTATATTATGCATAGGTGGTTTGTTTTCTTTCCTCGAAAAATGGATGGCCCTGGTACATGGAAGAAACCCCGCCTAAACCAGTGCCATCTATTTTTTAATCCAAACTAACTAAAAAGGACACCTATGTTTATATGATATGGGTATGGGCCAAAGCCCCGTACCCCACTGAACATCCCAATCCCAAAATAGACTAAAATTGGTGGTGCACCTACCTCAAAATGGTACAATTGGTTTTGACCCACAGCCATATGGGTATGAAAGAATAGGGGGACCCCACATATCGTGGTTCCCTGTTTGGCTCCCTTTAAACCAACCTGAAAAGGGTCTCATCAAAAGCATCCAGCCTCCTTTCAGAGCTTGCTTGCTGTAACGACCCTCAGCAAGGTGTTTAGCTTTTTGTGGGAGTAGAAAACCTCTTTCCCCAAAAAGTTGAAGTCCAAAGATCCAACCCAATAGCTGTCAAGATGACGTCTCTAAACCGACATCCTTGTTTTGACCCAATGATTAAACCCGACCCGGGGTTCCAAAACCTGGTCGACCTTGGGGAGGGGTTTATCAATAATGTTCTCCCATTATAAAGCTCTGTCTTGTTTTGACTTGGCTGCTCCTTGCTTGGATCTTGTGACTTTTGACTTGTTTGGCACATGTTTTTGCTTCAGCAGGGAACAAGCTACGTAAGCTTTTTGGGCACAGGGCATATGCGTCAAAATAGGGCAACTCCCAAAATACCTGTTTATTTGGATTTCCTTTAAAGCCTGAAAAGGTGCCCCTTCAAAATAAGATGCGCAGCATCCGGCCTACACAACGGGGGTTTAAACATGCTTGAATGAGTGATCGGCCAAAGTGACAACATCCTAGGCGCCCTTCAAAAGCTCTGTGCCGTCTTCGGGAATTCGTCAACCCCAAAGGGGTTGATTGCGCGAAACGCCGAACCGGCCACAGGTATGTACCTTTTGAGAACCCTGAGTCCCCAGAATCCGAAATGAAGACAAACACCTGGAACCTTCTGCGATCAGCTGTCGACTTGTTCAAGGAGAGCCTCTAGCCCGTCGGTAACAGCTTTGTATTCAACATGGCCAGAATGCGTCCTTCGTGTCCACACCCCTACAAAATGTCCACAAACACCCACGAAAACAATTGTGCCGCAGGTTGCACGAAGACTTTCAGTTCCTCAGACGTGCAGGTTGGCCCGACATTTTTGGAGCCTTGGAAGACTTTGCCAGACTCCATATATGGGTGTGGGTCAAAATTAAACCACAGGTGTGATTCCATGGTTCCTTTACCAAGGCTCCATTTTGGGCACCTATTTGTGACCCACAGCCATATCCTTTTGCCGATCCCACATGGAATGTTCGAATGAAGAGACCCGGCCTGCGTGCTCAAAATAGCTTCAAGCGACAAGTATTACTGGTTGCCTGATTCAGTCATTCAATGGTAAGCTATCCGCCTCACAATGGGAACCCATTTGGTCTCTCCTTCAGCCTCCAGAAACGGCACTTGGCCAACTTGCTATCTGAATGTTCGTGCCAAACTCACCCGAAAGAACCCGAAAAAAGGGTTGACCTTTTGGCAGGATTCTCCAGAACGGCCTTGTGGAGAACATTTTTTCGGCCTTCTCAAGCTTTTGGTTCTAACGGGCTTCACCCCACCGGGCCATCCAAACGACTCGCCTCGGAGTGCTCCTTGTGCAGCTCCATCTGCTTCTTCACCTGGCGCGCTCGTCGGATCGATCGGCCCGTCTTTCGTAGGGGAAATAGATGGCCCTGGTAGATGAGAAACACCAGGTAAACCAGGAATCGCCATCTATTTTTCGGCCAAAACAACCAAAAAGGACCTAATTATGCCCGAATGGGTCATTTTCATCGGACCTGTGGACATTCAGCGGGGATTTGATGTCTCAGAACTTCATAGCCAGATGTTGTCCCTCCAGGTAGGGTTGCCTGCCCGCTTGCTGAATCCTTAAAGGAAGCAAGGCATACAGACCCAGGATGCCTTGTGGGCAAAACTTGGGTGGAATTTGAACATGGGGAAGAGCGGTCGTTAGGTGGTCAACAAACGACCTCCGGCCCCAAATGCAGATCTTCCCCAGAGTGCCTTGGCTCGAAGCGGCGAAAAAGGCAGAAAAAAGGCGGCGGGGCCATCTCTTCCTGCATCTTCTGCTGCTGGTACCTGGAACAGGTGTCAGTGCCTGTTAGGGGCAGATCACCAGATCATCTGATCTGGGAAAGCTGTTCAAGTAGGGTTAGCAGAATGTGATCAAACAGCCCGGCCTGGGTCACCTTGAGAGGGCCACCATATGGAGATTGCTCAAATACCAGCGGGTTAATATGCTCAAAAAAATGGTTGGCCCAACCCTGCAAATCGGGGGCTTCTTTGTTTGCTTTTTTGGGCGGGTGACCTGAGCCCGCAGAAAAGTGATGGCGTTTCAAGCCGGGCCGTTTCTGGAGGCAGATCCTAACCATATCCTCGAGGAAAACCAATCCCCTGTGTCCAACAATGGAAGTGAAGAGGTTGGCTTGGACTTCGTCTTATAAAGGCCTCTCCACCTCCAGAGCTGCAAAGACCAATTACAAAGGGAGCAGCAAAAAAGAGAGAAATGCAGTCCCGCTGGGCCTGCCGCCCCGGCCACTATCCGAAACCCGGTGCAGTTCAAATCTGAGACGTAGGATGTGGCAAATGGGGGGGATTCTACATATTCGTTGAAGAAACCCAAGAGGAAACCGAGCAGTGCTATGTGTTGCACAAAACACTAACAGCTTGGAATCACGCTACATAGTGTTTGGGAAAAATGTCAGGTTACGGTCGCAGTTGACACGAGTTCAAGCATCAAGCCCTGCCGTCTCACCTCTCTTGCGACTGGTGCATCCCAGAATCTATGAATCACCACATCATGAATATAATAACTGCCTGCGTTTTGGTCCTCAGCTGTCCCTCATATCACTTTGAGTGCCAATGCGATGCCTGTCATCTTGGCAGCTGGCTGTACCTTGCTAGCCTCGACAGCCTGGCTCCTTCAAGGCATGGACTCCGTGGCCTGGCACCCCCGCTGCCGTTGCCGCTGCTGACATGGGCTCGTTCGAATTAACTCAGCCTGTCTACTTTGGCGCTGGCAATCACAGAGGCGGCGACAGAGGAGCGTACCAATATCTGCCTCTTTCCGAGTGTCCAAGTGTCCTGCCTTTGGTTGGCTGACGGGCTGCAAGCGTCTCCGCTCGACGGTTCTATCGGAACTTGGCTTCCGGGAATCCGACTGGGTGAAAATGCGACAAATTATCAATCTCCGCTCACTTCTGTCAACCCAAGCCAGTGTGAGTTTCTTCCAAGCGCGGGATCTCCGCACCTGGTGGCAAGACCGTCCCCAATTCTAACCTTCTACCCATGTAAGGCCAATCCTGTTGTTTGACCTCTGGTTCACCTTTTGCTTCGGCTCAAAACCTAAGCTGGAAATCAAAAGCTCCCGGGTCTGATGGCCTCCGGTTTCCTTCCTTCATCCCAAGGGGGTCCCCTTAAACCCCAAAAGGTTCTGATTCGAATTGCCAAAAGCCGGGCTGCTCAAAATCTGTGGGGAACTCTTCCGGCCAAACATGTCTACCACTGTCATGCGGATTTTACCACGTTTTTACCATCAACAAATGGCTCTTCCATGGGTTCTCACCCTTTTTGATGTGGGGGTTCTCATTTTCGGAGCCCAGTTGGATGTGGACCAATTCCGGCCAAGGGATTGTGAGCAGGGCACTCCATGGTCAACTGCATCGCCTGCTGTTCCAGCGCCGCCTGAGGACGAGCGTCAGCCCCTTTCCGGGTCGTTGGAACTCAGTCTCTTGGGTTGGACAGCCGACTTTTTCTGAGGAAGTCCCTGGAAAGTCTTTAAAATGTACAGCTTCCCGCGAGCCGAGTTTTTCTGAGGAAGTCACTAGAGCAAGCCCATGTTTGTGGGTCTGCCATGTTTTTTGTTGGCGGAAGTCACTAGAATAAGCCCATGTTTGTGGTGCTGCCATGTCTTTTTGTTGGTCCGACTAACCAAGTTTGGCGCGTAATAAAGTCAAAGCTGAACGCGGGTCAAATGGACGGGTGGGGCACTCGGAACATGCAAGCCACGGACAAGATTCGTTTGACCAAGAGGACATAGGCAAGTTTAGGCGGGCCCGTGGTCTCCCCCAACTAAGAACAACTGCCAGTAAGCTTGTCAGTTGCTCATGTGGAGCCGCTTGTACCAAAGCCTATGACTACTTTGTAAGGAAAGTTCCCTCCTCCCACAGAAGGGGGCTCAATCGAATCTTATTCTTCACCCGGAACCAAGTGGGTGGGCAAGGCCAAAGAGCCCAAAGGTCAGCTTGAGGCGAGATATGGATAGGAACGAGTCCTTGGGCGGTGCTGCTTCCTGTGATCCTCATACAAGTTGTGTTTTGAACTGCAATTGCCCTTCATGATGTGGCTGTGGGTCAAAACCCACAAAACCCCTGGTGAACATCAAAATAGGTGGCAAATGGATGTTCATCCACCCCAAACTGGAACCATAGGTTATGCCCCATGGCCATATTTCTCCAGCACTGTCCACCATGGTTTGGGGGTGCGGACAAAACGAAACGAATACCGCCGAAAACGAACGCTTCCGGCTCAAGCCTTCTGCTGGTGGTACTGCTGGTTCAGCTGCAGCAGCTGCTGGTTGTACTGCTGCGTCAGCGCCATCTCCTCTAAGCAAATCACGCGAGCAGCGCCGAAAAAATCGTTGGCTTTAGGTTCTACCAAGAGAGTCATGAAGCTTCTTTGGCTTTAGGTTCTACCAAGAGAGTTTTATAAAGCTTCACATGAGTCTCTCTCTCCCGTCTTCTTACTTACCCCCTATAAAACCAGATAGGGGTAAAAAGACTACAATGGCCTATAGAGGTTCTGGGTGTTCACAAAGCTATTCTTGTGCCAGGCTCTTGGGAGTACTGGTTTGTGTGTGTGTGTGTTCCCCCTAACCCCTGCGGATGGCGCGGAGCTCTGTTGGAAGCACCGAGAATGCGAGGCTTGATGGCCCCAACTCAAACCTGAAGTCGAACAATCGAATTGAGGATATGGAGGAGGCGGGGATGCAAGAGGATTCCCTTCGAATGTACCTCACATTACTTCCATTGACAGGTGCCACTCCCCTTTCAAACCAACAGGGCAAGCTTGGAAATCACCAGTGGAGCAATTGAAGATGTTTGTTGCACCCTTGCAATGTATATATATATATATAATCGTCCCCCCCCCCCCATTTTTGCCGCTTGAACGGCAATGCGTCTATGTCCCGGACAATCAATCGACACAGACCAATTGAATTGGACCGAACCTTGAATGCCCCTTGTGGAACCTCTTTCTTTCACGCAGCCCTTAATCCCAAAGCAAAACCGTCAGGTTGGCTGAATCAGGCCGTAAGCCCAGTTGTTTGGGCCGCGCTTTCTGCAAATCGAAACCCTTGGGGCGCACCATTCTTGGTGGAATCCCCCCAAAAGGGGAATTAAAGGCCACTGGGAAGCAGGGCTGACTGGATCTCCTCCAAAAGTTGATGTTCACTTAAGGGTCAAACGGTTGTTGAGCCCTCAGAGGCTGCATGGCCAATTTGTGGCGTTTGCGGCAAACATGCGCGGAACCAGGGGTTGGCTTCATTCGCTTTCCTTGGCGTGCCAAAGGCAGTCCTTTCACGCTGAATCATCAGTTTCTCGGAAGCGGAGGAAACACTGACCTGTGTTGCGGGCGCCTGCGTCTTGACCTGCTGGTCGATCTGCATGAAGAGCCGCTTCTTCTGCTGCTCCGCCTAGACGAGCAATCCACAAAATCTCCGATGAATTTCTTTGGACAAGTACCTTTTAGGGACCTCCCCCCCACAAACAAGGGCGACCTAAACAAAACGAAGTTCTTGCAAGACATAGACATAGGATATACATACAAGTTGTCTTGGCCTCTCCTGGAAGTTAATTGTGTGGGGCCCAAACGGGAACCAAAACGGGGACCCATCGTTGGCGATTGCTCAAGATCTCGGGTCCAAGTAGGTGGCACTGCTGCGAACCACGAGGCAGGGCACAGCAAGGCCCAGTCATTCTGTTAAAAAGACAACGCGGTATCCCGGGTATGTGTCTATACATACCAGGCATGCTCCAGCAAAGTTGGATGGTGGAAGTGTCCAACCAACAATGTGCCTACAAGGGATGAATTGTTTCGTGGAGCATCTCCTTTCTTCATTTTCTTCTCTGAGCATCTCCTGTCTTTTCCTCTCTCTCTCTCCCTCTCTTTTTCTCTTTCTCTGTCTTCTTCTCTTCGCCTTCTCTTCTCTTTCCTTTCTCTGAATCTTTATCGTTCTCTTTCTCTTTCTCTTCTCTTCTCATTTCTCTCCCTTGTCTTATTTTCTCTTCCTCTTCCTCTTTCTCTTCCTCTTCGTATTTCTCTTCTCTTTTCTTTCTCGTTCTCTTCTCTTCTCTTTCTCATTCCCGTCTTTCTTGACCCCGTCTTTGTTTATTGCTTTCTTCTTTCCTGTTTTCTTTCTTCCTTCTTTCTTTGAGGAGCCTTGTGAAGGATAAAGCTGAAGCTTGGTGCGCCTTTGTTGGCAAATTGTTGCTGGCACTGCCCGGAAAGCCTTTCAGTTTGTCAAGGCTGAGGAAAGACCTGTTAAGGACAGACTGGAGGCGAGAAGGGCGTTTTGGGTTGCCAGGTGGGGGGAGTTTGCTGAACAGGCTGTTGACGCCCCTGAGTGGCTACAATGGCCTTGAAGCAGGCTGCTGGCCTAAAGAAGATCAGCAGAGACCTTGAAGTTTGTTCCACACAAGAAAGGAGGGCCTGCCGGCATCTCCTTTAGAATGTTGAAAGCATGCCTTGCGAAGCTATTTCTGGCTTGGTGTACATGTTGCAGCAAATTGAGAATGTTTGCGAATGGCCCCAGCAAATGACCTTGGTTCAAGTTGTCATGTTGCCAAAAAATGAGGAATGCGAAAGGCAAATTTGCTTGACGCATGTGATTTACAGGCTATGCTGCAGAATGTGCAGAATGAATGAGAAAACACTTGGTCGACCAATGGCTTGCTGAGGACAAGTAAGTTGCACAATGGGACTCAGCGGTCAAAGGAAACACATGCTGGCAGGTTGCCTTGTTGCTCAAAAACTCAGGCTGAGTCAAGCAAGCGTGTTTTTGGACCTTTCCAACTTCTATGATTTGGTTGATCATCACTTGCTTGTCAGGGAGGCCATGACTTTGGGCTTCCCACCTTTGGTCCTGTACTTGTGCCTTGCGGTGCACAAAGGCCCGAGAGTCCTTCAAGCTGGTGAAGTGTGCTCTCAGCCTATTGTGCCACAGAGAGGCATCATTGCGGGATGCCCCTATGGTGTTGTGTTTGCAAAGTTGGTGTTGTGGACCTTGATGGCGCAAATCCAAACAGTTTGTAAGCCCCAAGGAATCACCACTGGGTTGATGACATAGGTGTTGACGTCCACGGATAGCCCTTTACAAGCAGGCCCTTGCGGAGAGCCATGTTGGGCATCAATGGGTTCAGAAAGGAAAAAACTTGACCTGCTTGAAGTGCGGAGATGCCATTAAGTATTGCACAAGCTCGAAGTGATGCAAACGTGCCTTCTTACCCCCTGTTCTAACTGTGGGGCTGGTGTTTGTGTTGGAGGTGGTGGTGCTGTTGCTGAGGCAGGTGGTTAACTGCACCCCCATATCCATTTCACTCACACCATGTGGAGGGATGCTGGGCAGAAGTTTTCCTGCCATCAGTGCAGGGGGAGATTCACTGCAGGGGCCCAGGTTAGCTTAAAGCTTAAGCGCCCATGTCGGTGAAGGCTGAAGCCGGCTACGGCCAAGTTTGCGGACCAAAAATTCCTTCTTTCCTTCCTTCCTTCCTTCCTTCCTTCCTTCCTTCCTTCCTTCCTTCCTGTGTTTATGTCTTTCTTTCTTTTCTTTTCTTTCTTTCTTTCTTTCTTTCTTTCTTTCTTTCTTTCCGTCTGTCTTTCTTTCTTTCTTTCTTTCTTTGTTTTCTTTCCTTCCTTCCTTCCTTCCTTGCTTGCTTGCTTGCTTGCTTGCTTTCTTTCTTTCTTTCTTTCTTTCTTTCTTTCTTTCTTTCTTTCTTTCTTTCTTTCTTTCTTTCTTTCTTTCTTTTTTTCTCTCTCTTTCTCTCTCTTTCTCCCTCTCCCTCTCTCTCTCCCTCTCCGTGCATATGATCTATCTACCCATCTATCTACCTATGATACGATAGCTGGATAGATAGATCATAGTCTTTCTATCTATCTATCTATCTATCTATCGATCTATCTATCTATCTGTCCGTGACCTTGTGAAATTGCTGCGCCTGCCACAAATCTGCGCTTGACAATGCCAAATTGCTGCGCCTGCCACGAAATCTGCGCTTGACCTTGCAAAAGTTTTGCAGCTGCTACGAAATCGGCGAACATCATGCCCTTGCCACGGAATCGGGACGCAGCAGTTCGCACGTCCACTCCAGCACGATTCACAAATCGCGCGACTTGCCTTCTCAAAGGGCTTCAATTCAAACCTAGCGAAATCTTGCGCGGCCGTGCCATGGGACAACTTTCCAGATCGCGGCGAGCCCGCGGCCCGTGCGCCGAACAGAGGTAGCCTTTGCAATCTCGGCAAACGCAGTATGCTGCGCCTACTACACAATTCCTTCCTTCTCTATGTTGTTTATCATTGTTATTTATTCTTTGTATGTTTGCTTAGTTTCCTTCTTTCTTTGCACGACTCTGCTACTTTCAACTTTTCCAACTAAACTTCCTTTAATAACCATGGTATGTCGTGTTTGCTTTTTGTGGAAAAACAAGCATGATTCACTACGCGAAGATTGGCAGGAACCATTCTTCTGGTATCTGGCCAAGAATGGGAGCGAACCATGAAACCATGCGTTTTTATGCAACGACTGCAGAAAGAGTCTTTCGCGTGCATCTCCCCTGCAAAGGCAATCCTTGCCCCTTGTATAATGGGAACCCGGCAGGTTGAAACAAGTTGTCAAAATAAGGGATGGCCCCAACAAGGGGAACAACTTGCCGGGCAACACCTAGTCTTCCAGGTTGAGACATCCGGTAAGAGTGCAGGTATGGCCACGGAAAAGCCATGGGCTGGTCTAATAACTTCGACCCTCAAAACGTGTGATTGCCTTTCGGGTCCCCTTTGAATTCACCAAAAAAGCGCATCTAAAGAGAAAAGGTCAAGGAAGCAACGCCCTTGGCAGCTCATTTGGGTGTGACTTTTGACGGGTCCCGGACCCTTTGGTGGAGTTCAGGTCAACCGCTTGTGAGGTGGGTCCCTGTTGAAATTCATGCGGCAGCTTTCGTCGGGTCATCTTTAGCATGGTCTTGAAGTGGCCAAACTTCTCAGGACGGCCACAGTTCCCATAGGTGCCCGGAAAAGACCTGTGAGGCCACACAACCCCGGCGCTGTTTCTTTGAACCCCCAAAGAGCGAGGTTTCCCCGCAAAGACCCCGCGTAAGGTGTCCAACCCTGCTCCTCACTCAAAAACCATCGTTCACTTTGCGCCCGGCCAGAGCCCCGCTACCCATGAAGAAAAGAGAGAACCAGCACTCTTTGCAGTTGATTGCAAAGGGCTTCACCCCTCCCAAAAAGTCGGGAGGAAAAAATGGTGCCTCCAAAAAGCAACCCGCCCCTCCCATACTGTGGATGGGCGAAATCCTGCACTGCTTTGAAACCATTGGGAAACCAATGTTCGTTGGTATTTACCTTGCAATCATAATTTTCCAGGGTTTCCTAGGTGGTGCGATTTCGCAACCATCCACAGTCTTGTTCAAACAATCCCCTGTCCAAAAGAAGAGAACCACCCCAAAAAAACTGAATGGTTCACCGCTCCAAAAAAGAAGTCGGACAAGGGGCTCTCAAAGAACAACCCTATCCCCCACCCACCAGAAGAACCACCCCCCCCCACCCTCCTCCCCCTCCCTCCCCCCTCCTCCCCCTCCCTCCCCCCTCCTCCCCCTCCCTCTCCCCTCCCCCCCCCTCCCTCCCCCCCTCTCCCCCTCCTCCCCCTGCCCCTCTCTCCCCGTTTTTCGGAAGCTCCGAGACTCCAAAACTCTCCGACGAACAGGCCTGGGTGTGGATCAGCTCCAGCTGCTGCTTCCGCTGCAGCTCCAGCGAGGCGTTGCTCCGCTGCTCCTCGCGATGGCGCGTTAGAATTGGGAGGCCAGGGACCACATATGGCCGTGGGTCAAAAGTAGGAACCCAAAATGGGGGCAACCGGGCAAATGGAAACATGGACTCATGTGGTTCCCTGATGTTTTCATTTTGACCCATACCCATATTCATGTGGACGCGGCTGTGGGTCAAAACCCACAAACCCCTGGTGAACATCAAAATAGGTGGTAGATGGGTGGTCATCCGCCCCAAAATGGAGGTATGGGTTATGACCCATGGCCATGTGGGTGTCCCTGGGTTTTGGGAATCATCACTTTTGGAGGGGAACACTTTTCGATTCAACTGGGATGTATACTTCCCACCAAAACTTGCTGGTGCGACAGGTAGGGAATGTGGGAAGTGAACCCATTCCCTTAAAGAAAACCACCTGTTGGATGGTTTATAGGGGTTCCCTCATTCCCTGCCTATCGCACCAGCAAGAAAAGCATGGGTTCAACCAGGGTGGTTTTGAGGATACCTCGGAGCTGCAGCAAACTGGACCGTGCCGGGGGTCCAATCCCTGCTCAGATGCCCAGTGGCCATGGGGAAGAAAGGGCATCCTTGTTTACTTAGTTGAGTTGAATGGGGAACCCTTCCCAAAAAAAGGAAAAGGGCGACAGTGGGCAACTGGGCCTGTTTTGACCCACCAGGAGTCTTCCGCGAGTTTCCCAAAAGATGCACATCGCCATGCCACAAGGATTTGAGGATCTGAATCAGCTGGGACACGTGACTTTCTGTTGCGCACTCTAAACGAAAAGATGTTCAGCATACCCTGGTTTGTCTGGTACGGGAAAAAGTCACAGAATACCTGCCAAAAGAGAGGAAACAACGACGGTGCCTCTCAAAGTGGTGTTTGGGGCTGTCCAAAAAGAGTGGCTCCCTGAAACAGTTTCGTTTGCTTGCTTCCTTTTTGGCTTCACCAACCAAAAGGCCACCATGACACAAAATATTCTGGACGAAAAAAAGCATGAGGCAAATTTGCATGCCCCTCCCAAAAAGAAACAAAGAAAAGGCATGAAAAGGAACTAGCAGCAGCAGTGACCGTATGAGCGGCCTGTTCCGAAAGCTTGGCACTCTCTTGACCAGAACCACCTCCAAATAAATGAAGAAGAACGCATGAGGCAAAAATAAACACACACCCCTCCCGAAAAGCAAAAGAAAAGGGCCATGAAGAGGGAAAACTGCATGAGGCACAAAAAAAAGACACAAAAAACGCACCCATGAAAAGGAAGGGAAGATGCTCCACGTCCTGTCCTGCTCCTCCAAGGAGTGGAGGTAGTTCTCCTTCTGCCGCTCCACCGAAGACGGGTCGGGCCTCATTGGATGCAAATTTCTGACCCGGTCATGTGAACTTTGGGAAGTCTCAAGAGATGTCTTTCAAAGACAGGACTGATTTAGGGGTAGGTTGGTTGAGATTTGTGGTTGCGATTTTAGGGTAAGAAAAGACCCAACTTGGTTTGTGGTGGCTGATTTAGGGTTAGGTTCAGCTTCTGGATGGGCGGGGTTGAGCTTAATTTTCATAGCCGAAAGCAGTCCTAACCCATTCCCTGACAATGACCCACCTCCTGCTCAGGGAAAACGAGTCTAAGTTTTTACGCGTCCCCCAAGTCGCTGCTTTCTGCTTCGCTCCTAATCCAGGGCGGTTCTCCCTTGAAGTGGTTCAAACAACGCAACTTCCGAGCGAGAAATCTCAACTGCAAAATCGACACTATTCCAGAATGTGTGGCGTGTGTTCATTGGTCTGCTTTGCAGGGACTGTGAAAGATATACTCGGATTCAAAACAAACAGTCTGGGGCTTGCTTGTCAGGAGGGAAATCTATCACAGAAAGCACTTCGGATAACTCCCCAAGCTGCAGCAAAACGTCTTCTCTCGGCAAAGGAGGGAGGGCATCACCAGAAAGATCAAATGGAAATGGGGCTGTCTCAAAACCACAAGGGTTTGTCTCGGAACAGGGGAAGTGTGGTTTCACTTTAAACCGAAAAGGGTGCCCTATCAAATTGACACACCCACAAATGCTCAGACATTCATCTTCGGGGCTTGCCACTTGAGCCCCCGTGTTTGAACATAAAGGGACCCCCCCCCCGCCCCCTATGTTCAACCAAAGGGAAATGGAAAACGGTCCAGGCAGTTGTAAGAACATTTCAGCCCCTAAACAAATTGGCATACCCAAATGGGATATTTTGAGAGACACACACACACACACACACCGGACGTAGGAAACTATGGCTAACGAATACCTCCCAAGTGGTTAGACACCAACCACTTGTTAGTGGACAGCAATTCCTACCTCCTGATGTCCATTCGAGGGTCCCTAGTCTTTTGTGAAGCACAAACTCATCTCAGAAGAGATGAATATGTCTTGTTCCATGAACAAACAATAAATAAATAAATAAACAATTAAAATAAATAAATAGACAAGTAAAAACAAAAAAAGTCTCACTATAACATGGGTTGGTTGTCTTTTGCTTTCCCCCTGTTTTGGGGGCACCATTCCAGCAAAGGTTCCCCGCCCCTTGCTGAGCCTCCCGGCAAGCCCGAGGTCAGGGCCGGCGGCGGCCCGTAGAGCACTTCCCGGTTCGGCACCTGGCGGCGTTTTTTTGGTTGGTTTCTTCGGTCGGGCGGCGGCCGTGGTGCAGGAAAAGGCCCAAAGGAGTCTGAACCAAAACCCGGTGATTGAGTGAATTATGATATTTCACCAACCTGAAATCAGTTTTTGTTTGTGTTTTTTGTGGTCGGCCGGCCGTGTTGCGGGGAGAAGGCCCAAAGGAGTCATCACCCAAAACCCGGTGATTGCTTGATGTCCCGGGGGAGGTTTCCCCTTGACACAACGTTCTTGATATTTCAGCAAGCTGAAATGTAGTTGGGGGGGCTATTCCCCACATAAACCACCATGTGGGGTAAATTTTAAGGTCGCTTTTATTTCACACAGAGGAGCCATCACCAAAACCCCGGTGATTGCTTCAAGGGAGAAGGGACACCACCCATCTTGAGGCATAATCAAAACCTGGTATCAACGTGGTCCAAGCCCAGAACCATGCTTCAAGAATGAAGAAGGCGGATATCCGCTGCTATTCATGGTTGGCAGTATCCCTTACTGACCTTCAGCTACCTGGGTTTTGATTGTGCTAAAGGGAGGCAGACTTGCGATCGGTGCGATACGTCGAACATGACAACGTGCCCGGGCGTTGGTTGAATGAACCGGTTTTAGATTCCCGAAAGAAAATGATAGGGGAGGGTTTTTCGCAAGAGCAGTCCATCTCTCATTCCCTGCTGAGAACCAGCAGGTAGAACACTGACCAGAAGCCCACGGAAATCATGTGGTTCCCACTCCAAATGAATCAAACTAAAAAAAAGCTGCTCCAAGGCCTGAAAAAGGAATGAGTAGAATTCTACCCTGGACGCTGTATGCTATTCTGTGGAATTATGCAGCGTTCAAATTCGGATACCACTATCCCACGAAGACTTTACACAAGACCTGCACCTTTTCCGACCCACAAAGGAAACAAAATGTCACACTTTTGGGCCATCATTGAATTTGAAGCAAATGTCGAAAAACACCAGTCGAACCGAGCAGCTGCAGTTGTCCAGGCATGGCTGATCTTGCTTTAAGTCTCGGTTCATTTGATGCGTCTGCATGACAAAAGCTTAGGGCCTGTTCCACTCCAAACTGGGCTCGGTTTTTATTTGTGGGTGGAATCCAGTGCCAAGCAAATCTTTGACAACGAATCATGACAACCGCTGCTTATTGAAGCGGGGCATGTCCACTTCTTCATACATCTATGGTACTTGGAACGTTCGGGTTCTAGTCTATGCCGTGTCGTCTACGATCACGACCACAAACCCGCAAGCCAAATGGAAGTTGGACTCCTGTCGCTGCTAAGGCGCCTGGAGCTGGGGCGCGGGGCCGGGGGCCACATTGGGCGTCTGCAGCTGCAGGCTCATCCCGCCCGCGCCGACACCCGGCGCGCCGCCGGCGCCGGGGCCCTGCGGGCCCTGCGGGCCCTGCGGGTAGTACCCCGGGGGCAACCCGGCGCCCGGGCCGCCCAGGCCGCCCGGGCCGGGGCCGGGGCCGGGGCCGGGGGAGCCCGGCGGCTGGTAGCTGGGCATGGCATACATCCTGCGGAAAGCAGAAGCCTCTCTGCCGGTATCTGAGATGGCTAGCTCTAAAACTGAGTGAATCAACCACCAACCGAAAATACCGGATTTCAATGAAAGACACCTTTTCCGCGACCGAGGTCACAAGCCAAAACCGTTTGTGAGGTGCTTCCATTTGCCCAGTTGAAGGGTCTCACGCAACCACAGCCCATTTTGAAGGTTCCGCTTCGAGAACGCGGGGCATTTCTGCAGCCAGGGTTCTGCATGCCCGGTCCGCCCGGCCCACGCGGGTCGACCTGGCATCCGGGTGCTGTCCAATCTCAGGAACCCACAAATGATAGGCTGATAGCTTTGGGGCTTTTGAGCACCGGCCCGCATTTTAGCAGCTGGTATGCAGTTGCCAAATGCTGACCCAGAAGCAGTATATAAGAGCTGGGCTTCTCAGTTTTTGCTTGAACCCCTAAGGGGCATCCAAAGCCTGTTCTCAGGCCCCCGCGGTTAAAACCGTGGAGTTTCCGCCCTCTCCCAAAAACGCAACTCGTCTGTGACAAGCGCGCCAGACGCCGCGTTTCCACCAGAGGTGACACTCACACCTGGGCTGTACCTCGCGGAGTCATCCGGCCAGCTTGGGTAGCCAAGCTCTTTGTTTGAACCACCACTGCGTTAACAAGTCAACCACCTTTTAGAACAGGTCCGCACAATTACCAGACTGTCCAACCAACATTTAAGCAATCCCGAAGCGCAGGGGGTTTGATCATGAGCTCCTTTTCCATTCAGGTGGCCTCGTCATTTGGGCATATGCTCAGATTAGGATTGCTTAAGCTTTCCCTTTGAATGGCCAGGTCTGGTGACTGAACTGGACCTTGTGCGCGTATGATCTGGGGCTCTGTTGTTCTGACGCCAAACCAGCTTGTGATCTGCATTAAGCCTTTGTGTTTTTTTGGCTAGAAACAGGTTGGGCGTGAACAGACTAGTCTGCGCCCGCTTCCAGCTGCTTGCGACAAAAAAAGCATGGCTTGTATCTGCCTTCGTCTCTTGCTAAGGTGTCTCCTACTGACATCTGCCGTTGCATGTCTGCGAGTTCGTGCGAGCAAACATACTGGCTTCTTCATTCTGCAAACACTGTCGGGTAACTAACTGAGTGAAGTATTACCGCATGAGGCAGTAGAACCTGCATCCAAATCTGTCGCATAGATTGCCGGCCAACCATACCGCCCAAAAATCCAGGTGATCCAGCGACAACAAAGGGAACCCCGGCCAACCAAAAATGGCCACAGATGGCGCAGAAAATGGCACCATTCTGACCTGTTGAAACACACGGCCACCGAAAGCCAAATTTGCGCCTCTTCCCACGCCTTTGCAAGTTTAACCCTCATCCTCTGTTTTTCCCATACTTAGATGCAAATCCATTTACCACATGAAAAGAAAACTCAAATGCAACGAGCGCAATAAACGGAGCTGATGGGATCCCTGGATTTATGATCCTTCACTTTGGGAAGAACACCTAGCCCAGGTTCTACTTAGGTCAGCCGGCTTGAATCCTGGTAGCAAACAGTCAGTCAGTATTGTGGGTAGCCTAGTAGTGGAACCATCCGGTCTCTTTTCAGGGCCAAGTTGAGGAGACAAAATGGCCTGGTCAACATATAGGGCGGATAGCCGGGCACAAGTCTACCCGAGACACATCCGTTTCGCAGTTCCATTCTGAGGAAAACCCACCCCCACATATCCGTTTCGCGGAGCAACATCACCACTGCCGAAAAGAATCCACACGTTGGAGGTTTTTGTTTGCAGTTCCCTGTTCCGAGGAAAAAACATGGAGTCGCTTCGACCCACGGCCCATTGAGGGCACATGGGTTGAGAGCTGCTGTACCTCGGCACAGCATCAAACCGGGGGGGGGGGAGGGGTTAGGGGGTCCCGCCGAGAGAGTCCCGAGCTTTGCCCAGAACTAGTGGGTTTGCTTGGGACATCTAAATCTGGCTATGTCTTGTTTTTTGTGGGGGATCCCCAAAATGGGCGGTGGTTCTTTGAATTTTCCAAACGAACCAAAAGGGTTCCCACGAAAAAGGAGCCACAGTCAGCGGGTCAGAGGGCAGGGCTCGCCGTTTGTGCCTTTGATTTGGACCTGGTCTCCTCCGGACCCAAAACCTCCAGCCTCAGCCTGGCTTACCGCATCTGGGTGCGTCTTTCTTTGAGGGCACCCTTGCCTTGTACGGTTCGGGGAACCAAAAGGGAACCACGCGTCTTGTGTTGTTCCCCTACTTTGAGACTCCAAGCCTGGCAAAAAACCAAAAAAAAACAAGAAACGCTCAGGCTGCAGCTGCGCCGGCGGGGCATAGGCCGCGCCACTGGGCGAGCAGGGGGAGGGCGGGGAGGCCAGGTGTCGAGGTTCTGAAGTTCTAGCTGGGTGAAGTGGATTGACTTTCAGACTCCCCTGCCAGAATCATGGTCATCTCGAGTTGGCTGAGCAGAATCATGGTCAATCAGTTCAACCGTTGGCACATCTGAATCCTGGCACTGAAGAGTTCGGGATTCTTCACTAACTCCCAGGGATATCAAAGGCGTCTAAATTAGTCTAAACCTGGGTTGGGTCATCCAACCACAAAAACCGTTGGGTGAAAATAGAGCACCAGGCTCTCATTCCGGTTTGGTCATTCCATTTGTTTACGCAAAGGGAAGCCGAGGGAACTGGGAGCCCTTAGCAAAACCCCTTCAGGGCATCTTTCCCTCTCAAGTGACCTGACTTTGTTCGTGCGCCTGGAAGCACCGGACCCTTCAGCCGGTGTTTTTCTCTCCTTTGTGTTCGAGCCTTCGAATTTGGGATCTCCAGACATTGGACCCTGACTTTTGACCCAAAACACCTGCCCCTCCACCCGTTGTGCTTCAGGGTACAGGGTGCAGGGTGCAAAGTGCCATGGCTCTGGTGGGTTGCCACGTGCGTGCTTCAGGGTGCAGCGTGCAGGGTGCCATGGCACTGGTGGGTTGCCACGTGTGTTTTTTTTTTTTTTTTTTTTTCGGACGAACCACCTCTGGTATCCTCCGGGTGCCCGCGCTAGTACGGCTCCGCAGCCGCCATGGTCTGCCTGCGTCTAGACCCACCCAACCTCCCCGAACCCCGCAAACCATGGAGACAGTCGGCCCCATTTGGCGATACTCAGTGAGTGGGCATCTTGGCTCCGTTGAGACCCTTTGGGTCGCGTGGGCTCCCTGGGCCGGGCCAATACCTTCGACCATACCTTTCGCCTCGGGCACTTGACCAGTTGGCGCTGAGCTGAAAATCGTCGAGCTCCTTGTGGAAAACAAAACCGCAGTTCCATTGCCGTTGTAAAATCACGAATGTTGACCCCATATTAATCAACAGGATTAATCTGGGGTCAACATCAGACACTGCATGGGGGCTTTTCCTGGGGGTAGGGCAACCCCTGGACCCGCCTCGGCGCGTTTCGCCGCGCCCCGGTTCTAAGCCCAAAGGGCAGCAGCACCGGACCCTGGGCTACGACTTACGCTACATTGCCCTTTTTGCCCCATCGACACGTGCATGCATACCTTGAACTTAAAGGTTATATAGATATATACATATATAGACGCACTTATACCTGCACTTGTGCATACACATGTGTGTTTTTGTAAATGTATATATGTACGCATATATATATATATATATATATGTTTATGCATATATATATATATACCTCTGTGCATACATGTGCTACACTATATGACCAACTCACTATCCTGCGCCATATGGTTAGCCTATAATCCACACAGGGCCCTCTGCGACGCGCGCAGACTCGCTCATTTTGGCGTCAGTCAGGACACTCGTGCGACCACCGCCTGAGCGCTCCGTTGCACGAGGTGAAATGCAAGTTTGCTTCATTGCCCTCCCAAATAGCAAGCATGGAACCTGACAAAGGATCCCCTGTTAGTTAGAGGAGAAGTTTCTTCCAGGGAGGGCTCCATGTTTTTTTAAGTACAAGAGCCTGGCAACAAGCACAAAGCTGGTGTGCGGACGTGCTTCTCAAGACGAACCACAGCTGACATGATGTTGGCACGAGTCCATGTAGGCCAACCTAATGTGTTTTCGTCACGCTGCCTGAGATACGGAGGAAAACAACCATCAAATCGTAGAGCCGCATGATCACCTTACTGCAGCAGCTTAGCTTGAAACCCGGCAAGGGGGAAACCCAAATTTCGACCTTCGAAAAAAGGGAACCCCTGCGGTCCTCTTTCTGGTAGACATGTCGATGACACGAGAGTGAGACCTGCCAGTCTCACCACTCCCACAGATATGAGACACAGAAGGGGGACCTTGCCCCAAACGACGCAAACCACAGGCCAAAGCCCACAAAAAGCCCAAAAATGGCAGGCAACCTAAATTCAACCGGTCTGCGGAGTAAAGGGAGGAGAAAAGGGGCGTGCAGACCCTCTGCAGTTGACCGCACCCGCCTGCAAAATTCGTAGCTCGAGCGGAAAGGCCTGCACCATAGAATACCAGCAGATTATGCGACCCGACTGGATGCTCCGGGTCGACCAACTCAGGGAATCGCTGCGAGCCCCGGCAGAGAGGCCTGTCCAAGCCAATTCCCAAGATGGAAGATCGCACGCCGTCAAGAAGAAAGGTGCCAGCGCTCAAAGCCACGAAGCCACTTCGGGAAGAGCTCAATCTTGATCAGGGTCCGCAGGGATCCAAATTGTTGACGTAGAACCGCACAGCGCCGGGCAGCCCTATCTGGGGTCGGAGCGGCCCTTCATGGGAAAGCTCATTTATTCTAAGGTGATATCGTTAAGAACGCGGGTTACTTCTTAAAGTATCAATGAAACTGAAAAGCTTTTCAAGGGCCCAACTGGTTGACCTCGTTGCCCTTCGTCTGAGATGGCAACCAGAAACACGCCGCAAAAGGTTTGAGGTGGGGTTTTCCTGAGGACGCTACAAGGGGTTAGACCTCACCTAAGCTTGCTCCAAAGACCCTGGCACCAGAGTTGACATGTGGCCCCCTGGTTCAACGAATCTAAAGGAAGCAAGGAAACCAAGCCAATTTTCTGCCCCATGGGTAGTTTGGTAGTACAACCTGGCCCATTTTTTGCAAACATGTTTCTGCCGTGGTGTTCATAGCACCCAGTACTGCGTTTCTCTTCCCCCCCAGGCCTAAGGTCAAGGTCTCTCCTTCTGGGTGGCTGTGGCTCAAAAACACGGAAATCAAAATGGCACCCTTGGCAAATGGAAACCAAAGACTCAAACCTGCGTAACCCTAGCTCTTTAAGTTTGAGCCACACCCATTTAGTCACATCAAAACCAGCCATGATTCAAGCCCCGGCCCTCGTCACAGTTTCAAGGCTCCGGCCACGGTCCGCCCTCAGCCCGGACCTGAGGGGCTGGGGCTTGGATGTTCAACCCACGTGGGTATATGGGTAGCCACGAGAGAAAACTGCAGCCATCTGTTGGGAGGACGCCCTTGACGTGGTGGCGAAAAAGGGAAACTTAAGGGACTGCTAGGAGAAGACGCATCAGAAGGGTACTCAAGGTCCAGGAAAGGGTCGGAGCACTTTTGGAGGAGAAACCTCGTCTAATCCTCCTTTGTTTCAGTTCCAACCGCCGAATGGAAGGCAAACAATGCCGAAAGAAAGTACCTTCGAACTGGGGGCCATGCTTCAAGGAACCAAGTCAGAACCTGGACGCGCTTGTCAGCGCGGTTTAAAGTGTACCTCTCACATGGAACATCTATATATGGGCCATATATATATATATAGAAACTGTAGGTTTGCGTTTGCCGCTGAACCAAGCAAGAACATATCATGATCAGCCTCCGATTCAGCCAAGGTTGTGGAAACTCCGCCTTTCTGTGCTACCAAAATTGGCCACCCAAAGATCTTCATCACTTCAAATGGGTATTCCCTTGGTATCACAGAAAATCCGCCAAAACCTGCTTTTCCCACAGCTATGGATTCAAGTCTGACTCACATCTCTTGCATGTCAAAACATTCACGTTTTAAGGGCCGCAACTTGAACTTCCCAAACTGCCTGCCATGAGGACAAAACAAAACACAAGTACCCCGAATCTGTAAATGAGGTTACAATCATTACTTCTGCCCCGAGCGACACCTGGGTGAAAAGAGTAAAGAAACAACCCCTCAAATTGACTGGCTTGGCGAGCGTGGCCCGTGTCACCCCCTGAGATGATGGTGAATATTGCCCTTCACCCGGGAGAATGAGAAATTACCTCGAAATGGATGATATTGACCTTGCTCGCAAAGCGGCAACCCTCAGCATGAGCTGCTATGCGCAATTGCAAGGCTGCAAAAAAGCAGTTGCCCTTCTAGATATCGGTAAGACCGCAGCATTGTCTAGACTTGTTGCGTTGATGTAGCAGTCAAACGTTACAAACACATCTCTCTGCCTTTTCAGAAAGAGAGCAACACAGCTGTCACAAAACATGCCTCTGTCAAAGAGGCAACCACTGAACCACTGTCTGAACATCCTCACAATAAACCTTCAGTGGATTGGAGTGAGAAAAAGTCCGAACTTTGTTGTTACCTCTAAGATGGATTGACGTGGAACCAAAAAAGGGGCTCTCCTTTTTTTTGGGGGGGTCCTCTTCTCAATGGTTTTTGGGCGCTACCAAATGGGAATTGGGTAAAGGGGTGTGTGAGTGTAGCAGGGTTGCACCCAAAAAACATGCGTGGGCGTCAAGAGCACTAAATGTGGGTACCCACAAAACGGACACCCCCAAATGTGGTCATCCCCTTAGATGGGACGCAAGACTTGGGACGTCAGAAATCACCCCCCGTTGCAGGGGTCCACCCAGAATCGTGCAAAGAATCAAGAGGGCTTCTTGACCTTCGCGCCTATTTGGCTATTTGGGTGTGGTTCCTTTTGGTTTGAGTTGGTACCCCTTTTGCGGAAACCAAAAGGAAGCCGAAGCGATTTTGAGACCAACCCACGACACATCCCCCAAAAGCGCCCTTCGCCTCGAAGCCCCGGAGGAGCTCAGCATAGGCGAGGTCCTGACGCAGTCTCCGCGTCTCGTGTGCGTTGACATCCCTGGAGGTCTCGTTTGGTGTAGAAAATATTGTGGTGCGCGCAACTGCGTTCATAAACAAACAAAGAAATAAGTAAAGTACAAATGGGTCAATGAAGCAAAGATGTACAGTATATAAATAGACACAGATGCGTACTCATTTTTCAATCTATGTTCTGGGGAAGGCTGGAAGTTCACGGACTTGGCCAATTCTATCCATCCCCAGCGATCCCCGCTTCGATTCGGGATGTCAGCTTTTGACAGCAGCCCCGCGGGCACAGAGAGACAGAGGGCTGCTTGGGCGGAATTCCAGCAGCCGGGGCCGAGCACCGGTCATCGTTTTTCCCAGTCACCATCCCTTTACAACCAGGAAATAAAACACCACCTCAAGTAGATGACCGTCGTCTGAACTTGAACATGTTCCCTTGGCCCTCTTCGGCGATTGATTTGCCGGTCGTACTACCAACCCACCTAGAGGTGCCGTTTCAGCTGTTCCTCGCCAATCTTAGACCGGGCGTAGAACGCCTCATCTTCCCTTAAAAGGCCGGGGCTGTTTGAGTCCGCCCCAAGGAATCAAAGAGCACTGCAAGGTCCTAAAAGGGATCTGCACTTTTCCTTGGACCAGTTGGGTTTTCACCCTGCGAAGAAAAGCCCAGCCTCTTTTACCATGACTCAAACCTCAAGGAACAAGCCGAAATGGGCTAGGCAAAACCAACAACTGCTGGTCGGGAAGTTGACACCAGACGAACAAAACCCTGGTTGATATGTAGGGGTGTCCCATTCAGAAAAATCCTTCACTTGATCCAGGGTCGACATTACACTCGTGACTCAGCTCTGCCATCCAAACTCTGCCAAAAGTGTGGCCATTCAATGATCACGGCTCAAACGGGCTCATATGGACAGGTCTCCAAATAGCAAATCCCCTCAGTTGGTTGCCTTTTGGTTTCCTGTCAACTTGTTTGGTTTCCCTTCGACTACCACAAGGGAGCTTTTCCCCCATTTTGAGACCCCCCCCCCCCACCACCCTTTGGAAGTCCAGGAACCCCTGCAGGTGAGAGAGACTCGCCTGCGAAATTCCATGAACGCCGAGCTCTGAGCCAAGCGCCCCGCCTCGCCACTCAGCTCCTCGTGCATGGCCTCGGCGGAACATGCGAGCGAGCAAGCGAGTGAAGTTGAGGCGGGCCTCCGTGGCTGTGGAGCCCCACTGCGCCCCAAAAACGTCTCCGGCGGTCCACTCGCCCACTGAGCCCACTGCGCCCCACTACGGGAAATGTGAGTCCCCACTGGGATGCTTTGTATCTGTGGATATTGGGACTCACATTCTCCGTACGCCCTCCTGCATGCAGCTGCTTGCTAGCCGCCGCCGGCACAAACCAAACTGTCTGTATCCCAAGAAAGCCAGACTTCCGGCACCTAGGGACGAAGAGCACCTGTTGTTGGCTGGG